TGCTTGGTGCGACGGGTAGAGTGTCTCGGTGCTGTAGCAGGACGGCAGTGGCGTAGCTAGGATTTTTTAAGCGGGGGGGGGGCACTGGGGGGGGGCCTTACATTTTCGGGGGGGGGGGGCACAATATATAAGTTTTCTTTGTATTATACTGTTCTAACGGCATTGTTTTTAATTCAATTTTCTTTTATCAAGCATGAATTTTTAGTGGGGGGGATCTGGGGGGCACAGCAAATTTTTTCCCCCCAGGCCCCCCGTAGCTACGCCCCTGGCAGGAGGGCCAGCCGGAGGGGCACTGACGGTGCAGGATTCGGAATCCGGCGAGAGATTGCCGGGGGTGCCATGTCGGTTGATGTCGTTGCTGGTGAGTCATGCACAGTAAACAACTGCAGGGAGGGTTGCAGGGAGAGGGGAACGCCTGTCGGTAGAACCATCATCGTCCAGCTGGGGTGGCAGAGGCATGTTGGCAGGCGGCACTGTGTTGCAGTGAGGAACGTCAGCAGAGTCAGTGGAGCGTGGCGAGCGTGGTGCCAGTCCTGCAGGGCAGGAGAGATCGCGAGGCATATACATGGGTGCCGGTCGGGGCGCAGCGGAGGCCTTACATGAAAGGTCTCATTCCTATTTCTTTAGTGCATGAGGACTACTAATGGAATGTTATCTTATAAATCAATACTAGGGTAACTCCTCTTCGTTTTAAATGCATAATTGTTCAGGGGCGGATCTAGGGGGTGGTGCAGGGGGTGCGCACCCCCCTTCCCACGCAAAGTGCCTTTTTTTGCAAAAGTTGCCTTATTAAAAAAACGGCATGTTTTGCCGCTCGGCCTGTATCTGACAAGTATTTCACTCAGTCGGACCCGATCAAGCCCTCGTTTTTCTTAGAATATATATATTGGTCGGGCCCAGGAGTCGGGCCATACCATATGCTCAAATCCAAAACGGAAAATCTAGGTCCAAAACTAACCGCTGCCTTTCTTAAAATGATGTTAGCAATACAGTGGTGACACGGAACTAAGAGACGGCGTGCACCAGCCTACCATTCGCACATCTTTGATTTTTCGCGCATGCAAAACAAACATTTTCACCCCACATGCAGTGCTTCAAATTTACACATCAGTGTCCCAGATTGCATCTCAGAGCTTCTACAATTAAAAAATTTCCCGGTGGGGCATGCCCCCGGACCTCCCTAGCACTGAGCAGCACCCCATGCTATAATGAAAAAGATTGGAAACCCACGTTAGGTATTATTAGCTTTTGATTATATATATTGCCAAATGCACGCATTTCAATCAGCTACGCCAAAAGCTCACATTAATAACTAACTTATGGACCGAAAACCCACATATATGTGAAATTAATGAATTTAAAGAGTAAAATTTTTTTCCAGTGTCTTTTTACAAACGTTGCACCCCTCCTTCTTAAAATCCTGGATCCGCCCCTGATCTTTGCAAAATAATATTCTTCTCGGGAGATATTGCGCATGTGCCAGCACCGTTTCGGGCGTGCAGTACGAACTGAGGAAAACTGCATAATATAGCTTGCCAACAGAGAGAGGGGTGGGAGAATAAGGATGGGCGGCAGGATAGATAGCTGAGGGGCGGTAGAAGAAGGAGGAGGCTGAGCGAGGGACAAAGGAGGCAATCGGAATGACGGGAGGGGTGAATTAGGAGTTTTGCACCCTACAGGCTAAGATGCTCTCGTAATTATAAACACGGGTCTGCTGATAACAATTTATTACATAAATCTATGCTGAGATACCCCTTAAACCATAGCATATTCATCACAAAATAATACTCCTCTGGTGGGATATTGCGCATGCGCTAACACACTAACGTAGCCAGTGTGTGCACTGACTAGCGGGGATTTTACATGGAAGGACTTTACTTCGCCCCGGGACTTGGCTTATATTCATTGGTTTTGTTTCTGTGCAATTACTGGCGCGGGTTTGGGATATTTGGAATTGCTTAATTATAATTATTGTCTGAAACTTTGAAACTGTCGTATGTGCGCAGAATAGCGTTCGGACGACGGATATATCCGTAGTAGCTAGGCCTATATATCCGTATATCCGTAGCGTTCGCATATATATATATCCTTTCTTGTCACAACTGCTCAAAGACCGTTTATATTACAGTTTTGTAACTCAGTGCTTTTACTTATTACATATATTCTTTTTTGATAGTTTTACTTTCTGCATATATACCTATATGCGCAGATCAGTGCATTGCAACCCCGGGCCCCCCACTCCGAGGTCGGAGGGACCGCATGCGCGTTCCCAAAATCTCCGGTAAAGGGGTATTTTTCGCGCGAAAAATCACCCAAGAATTGCTAAAAAACAAGGGTGGTATACTTGACTTTTCACCGAAGATTTCTTTTAAAAAGGGTTCGTCTTTCCATTCGCTCTTTCATACTTGAAATAGAATAGAAACTTTATTAAATCCCGGGAATCGATTCTCGAAATCGCCTGCTAGTTTGAAAGCTATTAGGATTATTTCGGATTTAGGGGAGTCTCCAACGGCAGGAAACCCGCAAAAGCAGCCGCGAAAAAGGGCGGGGTTCAGAAATGTTGGCAGTCCGAGTAGGGGAGTGCTTAAAGGGGGGAACGATAGCGTACCCTAAATACACTGTTTGTGGGGGCCGATATTGCAACCCTAACAGTGGAAAATAAGATCATCAATGGTAAATATAATATTGTTTGCGTGGTAAAGGAGGTTTAGATGGCGCACCTGAGTCCTGACAATAAACATGGTGTGTGTCTACATCAACACAAGAAAATTAATGTCGTCTAAATAATCCATTTAGCTGCAATTAATGGAATAAGCACAGACTACTGATTATGTACAAGGACTGAATCTATGTAAGCGGAACCATGTGCGAAAATAAATACGTTATACTTCTCATTTTTATGTTATAAATTGACGTCAATATTAGGAGCTTGCGTTTTCGGTTGGCTTGGAACCACGGCACAGGCACTTGGACCGTTTCAATATAAATGATGGTTAATAAATACAACTTTGTCGTACTAGGACCTACAGTACAGTAATTACTAATAGTCTTCATGGTTTGATTTGACCTAATAATTCATTCAATACACGTCCATACACCGCTTGCAACATCAGCGCGCGCATACACCCGCTGACAGTTTAAACACTGCGCATGCGCTTAGCCTAAGCGTCAAGGTCGGGGAGGAGTTTCGTCCAGAAGCGCGAGTAAAATGCCTTGGCGAATCAATGGGCGTTAACGTGTAGTGTGAAGGGACTGACTCAAACGGAATCGTGAATTGGCATTATAGAAAGACTTTTTTAGAGCATCGCATTGGACCATAATTTAAATGTATCAAGTGTCATGTCACTCAGGTATATCCAATTATCGGTTGCTCTTTCCCTGCTACGTGCACTGTTCTTCGCACCAAAGGTGAAGCGACTTGGTTATGCGAAGGCAGATAACGCATCGAGATAAAAATATTGCGGAGTATTTAACTCGCACATCCCCGGGCTCCGCGGAGAGCAGTAGCTCCATGGGTGAGACATAGCGCGAGACTGTCAATGGGTGTATTGTGATTGCACAATTTACACAGTGATATAGAGCACTCTATTATCACTGTGTAGCACTCTATATTCACTGTGTATTTGTGATGCACAATGGGTGCGCGCTTATGTGTATTGCAGCGGTGTAAATTGGGCGGCTGTGAGGTGAAAGTTATTAGGTCAATCAAACATTACTGGTATGGTACTGGTAGTCTCGTAGTAGTTACTGGCGAGTTGTATTTATATAACCATCATTTTTTATTATTGAAACGCTGTCAAGATGCTGCTGTTGGCAAACAACATCAGGCGATTGACCAGTATAAGAGACAGACCCACTATTAATTCTCCAATGCGATCCTATATATTAGAACTTGAAATTTCAGGAGGTTGAAAAAATAGTAGTTCGGCCGTTTTCGCGAGTGGCAATATTAAAATAGCTAGGTTAGCATGTACTTCAACTGTGCCACCTTAGAGTTTGACATATGTTGTCCAGCGTTTTAAAAAATCGCGGATTTACTAATCGACACCACATTTGTACATGAAAACAGTATCGCGCAGATCGAATGGGGGCCATACCTGAAATAATTCGCTTTTATATTACCAGTTAACCTCCAGATCTCCGTGTCATGTTATTGAACACACGGATGCCAGCTAAAATAATGCAGCCACAAAACATTAGTGTCAGCTTTTAGTGCGAGTGCGGGCACTTCCGATGTCGGCGATGAGGTCAAATCCTCTAACCTAACAGAGGTAATGAACGGGTAGACTGCATTTATAGTAGTCAGGTGTCATTAAATGAGTATTGGGGTAGCACAAGTTCCTTTCGATTATAAAATTACGTTGGCGATGAGGCTTCCGCTGGTGCGTCAATCAGTCGGAGAGTGCGTCGGGTTTATATTGGGGGTAGCTCTAGTACTATAGCCAGCTTACATTGACTGCGCCTGGCCAGCTGGCAGTCATGTAAGCGGCTATCAGTAGCTAGAGCTATAATTGGGGTGCCAAAGTTTCCTTTCGCTTATATCACTACGTTTGGCGCAGAGCCCTCGCCTGTGTACAGTCGGGGAGAGCCTGGTCGGTTTATATTGGGGGTATCTAACCTGCTTATTTTAAAAGACTCGCGTGCATACATGGTGGTGTTAGATTACTATTTTAGATCTCGTATGTAAGTAATAATGTCCTGTTTGGCTGTACTTTAACGTGTTTGTCTAAAGTACTTTATTATATATATATATATATATATTTCTCTCGTAAATTGACACATCTGTTTAGAATTGTATTCGCAGGCTTCACTTCAGGGCGCAAATCCACTTTAGGCACCTTAGGTATCACGAAGTGATGCGCAGATTTATGTGTATCATCAACTGATGCACAGACTTTCGCCGAATTACCGTATTTTTTCAGCAAATGTCCAAAGAAAATTTGGCAGACGTGCAACCGCATGAATCTTCAAAATAAGCACATGCATTATTGTTAATATCTTTAATTTTGAACTTCAGACCGCAGACTCCCTCGTTTTGCTGCGGACTCCCTCATTTAGAGGGTTGGACTCCCTTGTTCAAAAGTTAATTTCTACCCCTGCTACTACTACTACCAGGACTTACTAGATCTTTATTTAAGGAGTGACTCAGCAGATTTCACTCATTCTTGCAGCAAGCACTGTCAGGTAATGTTCAACATTTCGTGCTTCATAACATTTACTCTGGTGTCATTGATGTTAGTTTATTTGAAAAAAGGAATTTACTGGGTAGTAGTATACAATTTTACAGTCTTTACGATACCCTTTTTGAGCCATTTGCCCTTTGTGCAAGTATTCTGTAAAATGTACATGCCCGAATGACGTTCTAGTTGTCCATATATTTTGCAGGAATATTTTTGGAATATTGAGTAAAGAACTGTACCTTAGACAGCTTCTAGACGCCATTTGTTTCTGGTGTGAACATTTCGTGATTTTAAATTCAAAACCTTTAGTTAATGGCCAGTTGTATTATAGTTTATGCGTTTTTAAAGCAGGAGCCCGTCGGGCAAGGGAGCTTGCAATGTTTACATGCCCGCCGAGATTTCAACACGTCTCAGGTTGTCGGACGCCCGGCTAAATTCGAAGACTGATTTTAGCTGTGTGACAGTCCTAATATGTTCTGTATGTGGGTTCCACTTTATACATTCATCCTTGAACAAGAGTGTTATAGTTTTGAAGGCATCAGCCACTATTCGTCACATCTCATCTGCCATTTGTGTGAGCTTCTTATAGCATGGTTTACATCTTGATGGGCCACATTTTCAAAGTCAGAAGAAAGAGGTGTTGTCACTTGTGTTGCAGCATTGGTTAGTTTCTTGGCAATCCTGTCATCTTTGGTGTCTACATGCACTGGGGTCCAGGTTATGTCTACAGCAATGCTGACTAGTTTGAAGCTGACTTTGTGTTATATTTTGCTTCATATTTGTTATCAGCCCATGGTAGCAAGTTGGCTTTCAGTTCGGCCTGAGAATACCAACTGACAATTAGTTGTTGTTATGTCTTGTCGTGTGCCAACTAGACGGCATCATCTAGGAATAAATAATAGTATACTATACTATACATGCACGAATATACCAAAAATACTTTGTAAGTTTGCATGCTGGTCAATAGATACTGGCCTAATAGATAGTATAACTAGTTGCAAGCCAGGTTTTATCTACACTTTTAGACATAGGTTTGTCGACTTTTATAACATGTAGTATTGCAGTTCAGAGTACTGATACTTTTCCCCTCTTTATCCAATCACTTCCTATGCACCTAAGCCCCTGGAGGTTTAATAATTTTCCACAATCCATGTATGTACCAGTCCTGACGTTTATAAGTTATATTTCTTAACAAAAAGACTCCTAATTTTTATTTATCCTATTTTAACTTTACCTTTCATCACATGAGCCTGATGCTAACGTAACCTATCAAACATAATAGATAATGGTACTGTTGGAATTTAGGATCTGCTGTTCACGTAAGATATGTATTCAATCTGCAACAAAGGTCTCCAATATACTTGTAGCTACCTATTGCCTTTCAGTCACACATGCAACTCTCATTTCTCTCCAGATTTGGCGTCGGCATTAGGAAATTAATCGAGATGTGGATATTTGGATATGGGTCGCTTGTGTGGAAAGTGGACTTTCCTTACAAACAGAAAGTCCATGGATACATCGAAGGCTTCGTTAGGAGATTCTGGCAGTCAAGTGAAGATCACAGAGGAGTTCCTGGAAAGGTTCATGAACAGTCTTACTCATTATTTTCCGATCTTTGGAATGAATTGCCGACAAGTAACAGGTCCTGTCACCCAGGTTAGCAGTTGTAAACAGGTGTCAGCATCTGTGGACTGAAATGGCCGAACAAGAACTATAGATTAACTTCTCTGTTGTAATTCAACTGTGTCCTACAAAAATGTAGACTTTTTGTGATTCCCATTTGCATATGATATGGCTTGTATATGTTTCCTAAAACTGCTGCCTCTGAGGGCAATTATATTGGCCATGATAGCTTCTAAGCCAATGTGCTGAATGTAGTTGATGATTTCTTGCAGCCTGGTAGAGTCGTGACGTTAGCTCGATCAGATACACCCGGGGTAAGTCAATACGAGACTAATGTAATGTACTCAGGCTTCGAAGTTAACTCGCTTTACATAAAACACCTTAGCAGTATGTGATGCTTTCGGGTAACAAACACATTTTTTTCAAAATTTTTTAATAACGACGAATCTCATCATCGCGTTTCCGTCATTCTTGCAACGTTGATTACGTCGACTGCCAACTCTCATTGTGCCAACCCTAACGGTTTTCTCACGACCGAGGCATCTACGGTAGCACCCCCTCTCTCCCGCTCGAAAGCGGACGCCGAAGGAATCGGCCCGCGCGCGACTCCCCCTCCCCCACCCACCATCCCTCCCTTAAAAAAAAACGACGTCGTTGCAGGATTGCGTGTGGGGCGTCGCGTACGAGATCGACGACGACGACGTCGCCGCCGTCAAGTCCTACCTCGACCACCGCGAGAAGGACGGCTACGCGACGACCCCCGTCACCTTCCACCCGCGCGGCGACGACAGCGACCGCAACGGCGACAGCGACGACGCCCGCGACGACGACGACCACGACAACGACGACAGCCGCGGCGACCGTGACCGCGACCGCAACGGCAACAGCGACCGCGACGACGCACGGCCGTTCGAACTGCTCGTCTACCTCGGCGGCGAGACGAACCCGTTCTACGCGGGGCCGGCCGAGGCGGCGGCGATCGCGCGGCAGATTGCTGCATCGGCGGGGCCGAGCGGCGACAACGCTGAGTACCTGTTCCGCCTCGCGGAGGCGATGCGTGCCGTCATGCCGGCCGGCGAGCACGAGAAACACGACCCGCACCTGTTCGAGCTGGAGAGGCTCGTGAGGGACCTGCGCGGGGGTCGGGAGGTGAAGCAACCAGCATAGGAGAGGCTCGTGAGGGACCTGCGCGGGGGTCGGGAGGTGAAGCAACCAGCA